GCGCTTAACTTTTTGGAGGAGGTCCGAAAGCTTTCTGTAAAACTCATCTTTTACATCATCTGGGCTGCAGTCAATGGGGGCGTAGGCTGATATGACGAAGAGGCAACGGCGAGTGTCCCTATCTTTCCGAGTCCTTACTGTCCCGTTGAGTCGGACGGCGCACAAGCGACTATCTACAGGGATCCAGTCAAGGAGAGATTGTTCTGCCCTACGACTCAATGCTATACCTACACCGGCGAGGCCCCTAGAAGCAGCATCAGGGCTACCGGATACACGAAGTGTAAATCAAGCTGCTTCTTTATTTTGACATGTTGTGGCCAAGTGTATGACGCGACTCGGATCCTGTATGCGCGTTTCCGAGACGCAGCATACATCGATGGCACGAGATTCTAAAGTCCTAGCTAATGATGCCTGTTGTCCTATTTGACACAATGTCCGTACATTGAATGCTCCAACATGTAGTTTGGAACGGGGTTTAAGGAGACCAGGAACGACGTTTCGCAAACTCGCATCGTTTGCATTAGCTGTGCACTGTAATAAATGAATGTGAGAAGAGTTAGTTGTGGAGATAAGAGAGGTATTAGGGAATGTAGGAAGGATTTGATTTTGAACAATTTTGTCTCGTGTGCTGTTACGGGTATGAGGGCGGTTATCACTTCCCGGCTGCCCACACCGTGGAAGGTTGATTCTTGACGAACCTGAAAAGGAAGATGGATTAGTGTTGGTGCGTGACCGCAGAATCCAAGGGACAACTGCTTGAGGCCGGTCACGCACGGCCTTTTTATGAGAGGTATTTAGAGGATTAGCTCCGTTCTTAAAGGCCCTTAGTGGGCACCCTTACCCAAGGGGACGGAAATCCGTGAGTTAGGGGAGGTGTGACATTTTTAGGGCCGACCTTTTCTAACCCTCCCTTCCTTGTGAGAAGGCAGCATCGCTGCAGATGCTGGTTGTCCGAGGGAAACACCTTACTGCTGTCACACCCCTCTGCAGTCAGCAGTACGACTTCGCCCTCAGACCTTGGGTAGCTGCTTTTAGTCTCATCGTTCTCCAATCGACCTGCCTGGCATGGTAGGACCTGCAGGAACATGTGTTCCAGCCAGTATAGCTCGGTTGGGTCATCACGATAGGCAAGCACGACCACCACGTCAAGGTAGCAGCTTCGGTCGGGTATCTGAAAATCATAGGCAAACATATTAGCAAAAAACAAGTCAAAGGGGAATACGATCAAAATAATGAGGCAGACAACGACAAGTTTAAGGTCATTAAGAACCAATCAAGATCTAGGTCAACAGAACGATGTGAAGAAATTTGAATGGTGAAGAAAATTTGTAGCTCAGTTGGATGATTTTGGTGGTGTTCCGTTCGCTGAGCTGGATGTTTTGGTTATGAAGCTTTGATTGTTCTCCAAATAAACATCATCAGCACAAACTTTAGGTAGAAATGAAGTATTCGAATTTCTCCACATTTGACCTGTAGCTGGTTCTGTTAATCTCGATCTTGATTGGGTGCTGTTGACTTTAAATCTGTCGTTATTTGCTCCTTTGTTTCGACTGTATCTACCTTTTGACTGTTTCTTGATCCTATGTCACCTATGGTTTTTCTGATTTGTTGATCAGTTGGGTCAATTGTCGATGTGTTTGTTGATTGTTGACTGACCAGAGTGCTAAGCTTGTTAAACTTCTCTAGTGTTCTTTGTCCTCCCCCTACCCAGTATTTCCACATTGTCTCAATCGAATGTCTGTCCATAATTGTCGGTGTGTATTCATATAGGTGAAGAATTGTCGTGGCGTTTAATTGCTAATTGGTGTTCACGTAAACGAAGCTGAAGGTAGACGACCACTTTGTCCTATGTAGTGTTTTTCAAAGTCTGAGCAGTTGTTTATTTTGTAGATGATATGTAGTTATTCTTCCTTTGTCATTTTGTCCTCTGGTGTTTACATAGAGGATTGATTGAAGTGATTCTGTTGGTTTGTGTGCCACACCTATTCGAAATGGTTTCAGTAGTCGCTCTGTATGCTCCGATATGTCTTTGATGTATGGCAGGATGATGCGTTTATTGATTCCTGCACTTGATTTCACTTCTGTTGACGATTTCATTTGATGTTTTGTTGATGAAGTTGCGTGGACAGCCGTTTTTTTTTTAAAGAAATCCGACCACTTCACTTCTTCTATCCGAAGTTTATGCAGCTGCTGTTGATGTTGTCGTTCAATAGTAGAAGAACAATGAAATCTTCACAACCAACACATTTTAGCTCACAGAATGAAACAGCATCACAATCATCCCATTGTTTGATTTAAACACACTCAAGAGTTACTTTTGATAGAACAGGGAGAGAAGACATAATTGATCTGTAAAAAAATGTTGTGATGTGTATTTGTGCTATACATACATCACGAACAATCTGATCACAACATACATAGACACTTGTCAAGGCATTTTTCATATATGAAGATTACACGATATTAACTATGGAAATTATCAAGATTTAGAGTTATTTTTTCTTAAAGAAAGAATCAACAAAAACACACAATGAATTATTTCCTTTACAACAGTTTATTTTTTTAAAAAATCAATCTATTAGAAAATATTTTTGAAACCATGAATCAATCAACGTTAGTTAGACCACCATTAGAAACCTGGAAGAAGCACTGGACGGCCTTCTCGTCCTGGTATGCGACTCCTCAGCAGTACGCATCCACGACTCCTGAACCACGCAGGATTGGAACCCGGGACCTTCGGTATTGTGCGCGAACGCCCTAACCGTTAGACCACTGAGCCGGTGTCCAACGGTGTTAATGTGTCTAACTTGATCAAATTCATACGATACCAGGACGAAACGGCTGTCCAATGCTTCCAGGTTTCTAATGGTGGTCTAACTTAACAATCTTCACAACCCCGTAATGCATATTAAAAAATATTTTGAAATTTTCTATCTGAGACATGTGAAATTTATTCAACCTTAAACTTTATTACTATTCACAGTTGAATAGTCAATTTCATGATGATATCAGTCAGTGAATCAGTCAGTTACAACATAGAACTTCAAAAGTTCGTACGTACGTACATCAGTTCAGGTCGGCATACTACATTAGTACCGAGAGGCAATAGTCAATTCAAATCCTATAGTAGTTAGGAAATTAGAAGCATAAGTAGTAATTGAAGTGATTAGGGTTCGAAGATATGATTCGAGAAGTATAATTCAGCAAGATAAATTCAGAAAGAGAAAGATAAATTCTAATCGAGGGTCTGTATAATACAGATAAATGTTCCGTGATGATAAAGCACTTGTCCAAAGATTCAAAGTCTACAATTACTTCTGTAATCGAGGTTAGTTTGTGAAGTCAATTGTGGATTGTAAATACAATTAAAATTCCACTGAAATCATGAATGTACCATGAGTTAGACTGTCTAGCCAATATGTCCTAAGGATGGGGCTCATCAGCAGTACACACATACAAACACAAAAGCCAGAAGCGCGAGTCGAACCAAGAACATTAGATCTCAACTACACAAAAAACCTAATCTTTCGACCAGTAAGCCGTGATCATTCAACTATATTAATGTGTAATGGATTGACCTCAAACTGAGTTCGATTTTCACTTCATGGTGTTGTGGACGCGCATTGCCACTAGTGAGTCCCATTCTATGACGAACTAGCCGTTCAGTGCATTCAACTTTTCAGTCTGAGTCGAAAAATGATCGATTCATGATTTCAAATGGATTTCACATAAAATTCACGTAGTTAATATATAAATACTACTACTACTACTGTGGTGCTGTGGTGCGAACTACTTATAAGTAGTATATAACGTCAGTGTCAACGTAAAGTCTGGTAGCATAATATGTGGGGAAGATCAAGAAAGTAAGAAGAGTTAGAAAACAATGGAATTTGTATGAAACGCATGAATAGTGACAATGGATTGTTGATGTTTTGCAACAGGAACAGTCCAGTTCGATAATATGATGAACTGATATTTTGCAAATGAACGATTTACGATATGGTTTTCCGATTTTACTGAGTAACTCTATAATTTTCGTTAAATACAATTCGGTTGCCCCACCTGTGTTCTCCTTCACTACACTACTACTGCTCACACCACTACTACTACTACTCACACTACTACTACTACTGTAGTGAATGAGAACACAGGTGAGGGCAACCGAATTGTATTTAACGAAAATTACAGAGTTACTCAGTAAAATCGGACAACCATATCGTAAATCGTTCATTTGCAAAAGATCAGTTCATCCTATGGAACTGGACTGTTCCTGTTGCGAAACACCAATCGATTGTCACTATTCATGCGTTTCATACAAATTCCATTGTTTTCTAACTCTTCCTTTCTTGATCTTCCCCACATATTATGCTACCAGACTTTACGTTGACACTCACGTTATATACTACTTATAAGTAGTTCGCACCACAGCACCACACTACCACTAATAATAATAATAGTAATAATATCAAGAACCAGTAACCATAATAGCTTACTTTCATATTCAATGCTTCAATAATTGTATCTTTTTCTAACAGCTGACTTTTCAATTGATTGATTTCTTTATTTAATCGACTAATTTGTACATCTTTATTAGTTAAATCTTTTTGCAATTGAGTAACAAGTCCACTTAATATTTGACGTTCTCTACGTGTTTTCTCTAATAATAACTGTGTACAACAAGTACTAGTAGTAGTTGTAGTACTATTATTATTACTACTCCTACTACTACTACTACCATTTCCACCACTACGACCGATACTACCAACATGATCACTTTTCTCATCTTGTTGTTGTTGTTGTTGTTGTTGATGATGATTGGACAAACAATTGTCGTTCGAATGTGAATCCGCATTGGTTATGGTGACTGAACCGGTAGTAGTAGTAATAGCAGTAGTATTAGTAGTAGTAGTAGTAGTAGTCGTAGTAGTAGTAGTAGTACGTGATCTGATCGATCGGTTCTCTTGTTGTTGCTCTTGTTGTTCAAGTGGATGAGGAGAAATTTGTTGAATTGGTTGAATAATCATATTCGGTAGACTATCATCTAATTGTATCTGATTATCATGTACAGATGAAACATTCGACAGATTGTCAGATGTCATAATTGGTGTTGTACTACCAGAATGACGTAGCGACCGTCGACTAGTTTGATTCGACTGGGAGATTTGTTTTTGTAAATGTTTAATAAATGTATCTTTCTGTGCAATGATTGCTTCTAATGGAGTAAGATGATTGATTCGTTCTTGTAGCTGTTCAATGAATTTATCCTGAATATTTTTTAAAAATATATCAAAAATTAAATGTGATTATATTATTTATTGGTAAAGTATTTTCTGTTAAGAAATATTTAATGTGTTGGGGACTTTGAATCCCCAGAACTCACTTGATAAAGATCGTAATTTGATCAGTTGACCTTGAGATTACACTCCCCGCCAGGAAAATCCTTGACTGTTATTGGTTAATGCATTATTTTTGTGGCTTTCTCAAGGACGTTTCTATCACTGTATAAATAAACTCAGTTTCCTAGGTACTTGTAGAATACACTTTCTACACCATATAAAGACTTCTTCTTCTACTTAGTTGGAGCCTTAAGAACGCTCAGATTACAGTAGCCTATCGTGTCACTGGATCATTTGTCTTCACTCTCATTTACCGACACAAGGTGAACTCGTAATAGCAGTCAAGCATAACAACATGTTTCGTCACGACTGCTGATGCTGCTGCTGTGGTCACAGTTATTCGAAATTCAGTCAAAAAACTCATTACGACTGGTAGTTCAAATTCATACCAATAAGATCTTATCTAACTCTTAGCATATTCTTGTTAGTTAGTGAAACCGATGTGTTTCCTCCTCTGAATTGATCGATAAACTAATAATCCTTCACTTGACAAACAACAGATGTTTTGTTTGATAGAGAAAAGCAACTCTTGGAAAGGTTTTTTTACTTTTCAGCTTCTCACTAATAATTATCCGTGGAAATTGATTGATTGATTGACTGACTGACTGACTTGCGTCAGTCAATCATTATTACATTACTGAATTCTATTACAAACGTAGTACTTTTTTTCTTCAAAACTATACAGATTGTATGAAATCATAAGTAAAGTTTATCATTTGTAGCTCAGGTGGATGATTGTGGTGGTGGTGGTGCTTGGTTCTCTGAGCTGGCTGCTGTTTTGGTTGTGTGGAGCTTTCATTGTTCTTCTTCTACTGAACAACATCATCGTTAGCACAAACTTCAGATAGAAGAAGTGAAGCATTCGAATTTCTCCACGTCTGACCTATAGATTGTTCTGTTAACCTCGAACTTGATTGGTTGCTGTTGACTTTAGATCTGTCGTTGTTCGCACCGTTGTTTTGATTGTATCTCCCTTTTGACCTGTTTCTTTTGATCTTATGTCACCTATGATTTTTCTGATTGGTTGATAAATTGGGTCAATGTCGATGTGTTTGCTGATTGCTGGTTGACCTGAAAATTCTTTATTGTTCTTTATACTCCCTCTATCCAGTATTTCCACATTGTTCCAATCAAATGTCTGTCCATAATTGTCGGTGTGTATTGATATAAGCGAAGCGTTGTCGTGGCGTTTGACTGCTAATTGATGTTCACGTAAACGGAGCTGAAGAGGTCGTCCACTATGTCCTATGTAGTGTTTTTCACAATTTGAGCAATTTATTTTGTAGATGATATTTGGTTTTTCATCCTTCGTCATTTTGACTTTTGGTGTCTACATAGGATTGATTGAAGTGATTCTGTTGGTTTGTGTGCTACACCTATTCGAAATGGTTTCAGTAGTCGTGTTGTATGTTCTGATATGTCTTTTATATATGGTAGGATGATCTGTTTGTTGGTTTCTGTACTTGATTTCGATTCTGATGATGGTTTTGGTTGATGTTTTTTGATGACGTTGCGTGGATAGCCGTTCTTTTTTCTCGTTTTTTAGTGCTTCCTATGTGCTGCAGTGTGTATTCGCTCTCTTGAACAAAGTTTGTGTGCAATTGATTTTGTGGGTTCTTGGGTTGTAACTGTCGTAGCAAACAACGACAGGTTTAAGATCAACAGCAACCAATCAAGATCGAGGTTAGCACAACAAGCTACAGGTCAAACGCGTGGAGAAATTCGAATACTTTACTTCTTCTATCCGAAGTTTGTGCTGTTGATGATGTTGTTCAGAAGAACAACAATGAAAGCTCCACAACCAAAACAGCATCCAGCCAGCTCAGAGAACCAAACACCACCACCACCACCAAAATAACCATAGTGTTATTTTGAATTGTTCAAGAATTGACATATGTCAGTGTTTAAATATCGAATAAAATATGTCTGTTATGGTTGTTTAAAACAAAACGAAACTATTGGGAGAATTGAAGGCAGTTTTTTTTTAATGTTAAATTAGAAGGGGATTAGACCAAAATTGCATCTTCTTTTTCATTTCACTGAAGTTACAAGGACTCTACTTCATCTGGTTATCTATTATTCTGTGTGTACAGTGCAACAAACACAGTTTGCATTTTATATCATCTATCTGTCATGATATAATTTGGTAAGAGATATCATTCTTGTTTAACTGGCCGCCCTACACCTACTGCAAAAACATACTACATAACATTATTAATTATTCAGTTATCGATCGATTTCAAATATCTCTCACTCCTATTGAATGTTAGTTAGCCAAGGATTGAATAGCTTGATGTTAATTAACATATTAGATAAGTGAAGCCAGACGATCCGAGATTTAACAGTCACACAGCACTTAATTATCAGTCTCTTCCAGAAGGAAAAGAGCAAATGAACACGAAAAGTAATAAGTGCATTTTTGTTTCATCCTAACCATTTCAAACCTCCAAAAAGTTGGTGATATTATTTAAAACTAAAACCGTTTAAAAAAAAAACACAACACCGATAGAAATCTGCATCTGAGCTACAAATTTACTATACCATTTGAAATCGAAATTTTAAAACTAACTATGTCTACAGAAGTTTGGTGAAGGTAATTGGCATTACATTTTCCTTATTCAGTTAACGTGATTTCAAATGTGTGAAAAAACACTCATCGCAATAACTCTAATTGAAAATATCATGCTCACTAGTGACTAGCTTCATCAGGAAATTCTCTTAGTTCTAGTGAAAAGACGTGACCAGTGAAGTAGTACTCAATCCTGTAGAGTGTAAGCAGTAACAACCAAAAAGGTAAATGGGCGAGGTTACGCAAGATCTCTTGCTCAGTCAGAGTTGAACATTAACACCATCGTATGCCGACCCCTTGGTCTGGAGGCTAGGCGCTCGCGCAAAAGACCGAAAGTCCCAATTTTAAATCCTGCAAGATTCAGGAGTCGTGGATGCGCATTGCCCCTGATGAGTCTCATACCAGAACGAAACGGTCCCTATCCAGTGATTCCCGGTTTCTGTTAGGATATTCATCCAATATCCTAAGAGAATTATCAGTCAATTCTTATTGGTTAATTCCTATTGGTCAATTTTACGTTCGTCCTAGATATCAATGTCACGTGCTCCAATGTTATTTCCTATTGGTTGTCCTGACTATCAGTGCACTTCAAATGTTGCTTCCTATTGGTCGTACTAACTGTCAATGTCACAGATTTCGATGCTGTTTCCTATGCGACCAAAATGTATAAATACGCATTATCTGTAACATTTTATGACCAGGATCAGGACCCGGTCCTGGATCCCTAGTCCGATGTCCTGATTCTTTTCTGGATTCGGACCTCGTACTTTCGGGATGCTTGTAGAATACAGGTTCCACTTCATATCATATCTTCTTATTTTTACTCAATATAGGGTTGGTGTTGGGATAATCGGATTTGAGTAGCATGTCGTGTTGCCGGATCCTCGATCGGCGCTCTCGTTTTCCGACTAACGTAAACTCGTAACAACTGAAGCTATTCAAGTTGACGTGATTACGTGCAGGCGTCATAATGATTGATTGATTGACTGATTGATTTCAAATGTGCAATCCCAATTAATCAAATGCACCAAACCAGTTCTGTGTAGTGAAATCTTAAATCAATAATCTGTAAATTATATGTATTCAGAAAACATCTTTCACAGAGTTATCATTCTTGTTGTATAAATCAATTACTATCCCCAAAACTCGCTTGATAAATGCCTTATTTTAGTTTTCACGTTCGCCAACATGGGCTGATCAGTTGACCTTGAGATCAAACATTTCCCACCAGGAAAATCCATGGATGTGATTGACTGCTGTGTATTTTATTAGTGTGCTATTTTCTTAACTGTCCCAAGGACATTTCTATGATGTATAAATAAACGAGAGTTGTATGCTTGATGGTACTGTGTGCTAATTGGAGGTTTGTAGAATATACTTTCTACGCTTACAAAGCCTTCTTACTTTAATTGGGGATTCAAGGTAGCCTACCTGGACGCTGGTTCATTGTCTCGTTTGCGTTTATCGACTAAGGTAAACTCGTAATAGTAGCTTCAAGCATCATACTTAATGACGAACACAATAAAAAAATTTTCTATATTGAACATTGAAATTTACTTACTTTTTGTTCTGAACTTAATTCTTCTCTTTTCAAATCACTTGTTGTTGTTAATGATTTCGGAGGAGAATTAGCCAATGGAGAGCCTAAAAAAACAGTGTATTAAAAGAAATGTAAATACGATCAAAAAACTGGAAAATTCTATGTCTGCATGTGTGCGTGTGTGTACATTCTTTTTATTGCTCGTTTCGATGATAACATTACGCAATGCCTTGAACCGACTGGTCTCAATCAGTGAATGTCCCAATTTATAAGAAAGGACAAAAGTCTTCTTATGACAGTCATAGGGGAATAAGTCTAACTAATATAGTATCGAAAATACTGGCCTCAATAATACTTCGACGCTTAACGAAAGCTCGTGAAGAGCAAACTCGAGAAAACCAATCGGGTTTTCGACCTGGACGTGGTTGTATAGACCACATCTTCACACTACGACAGGTCCTGGAACACAGACACACATTTAAACGTCCTACAATAGTCGTGTTCCTGGACCTGAAAGCGGCATTTGACTCAGTGGATAGTGAGGTTCTGTGGCAGTGTCTGTCATTGAAAGGTGTACCAGAGAAGTACATTAACCTCATACAAGCTCTCTACTCGAACACCACTGGTCGAGTGAGAGCTTATGGAGAAATGTCACCGGAATTATTCACTTCAAGTGGTGTCTGTCAGGGATGTCCACTCTCTCCATTCTTGTTTAAATTTGTCGTAGACATCCTCTTAGATTTAACATTAGGCTCGTCAGATTTTTCAGGGGTTGACTTTCTACCAGGAAAGTCGCTTACTGATCTAGAATATGCCGATGACATTGTCCTACTTTGTGAAGACGCTGACAAAATGCAGTGTTCTGACTACCGTAAGCAGCAATGCAAGCATGTTCATGATGCGGTTTTCCCCCTCGAAATGCAAAATGTTGCTTCAAGATTGGGTTTCATCGGCACCTCAACTAGTGATAGGGAGTGAAGTGGTTGAACGTGTAGACCGCTTCACTTACCTTGGGAGTCTCATCAGTGCCGATGGCCTGGTGACTGACGAAATCTCAGCTCGGATACAGAAGGTTCGATTGGCTTTTGCCAACCTGCGTCATTTATGGCGTAGGCGAGATATCCGTTTGCTGACTAAAGGACGAGTGTACTGCGGAGTAGTTCGCTCCGTCCTACTTTATGGCTGTGAAACATGGCCAATGAGAGTAGAAGATATTCGTAGGTTATTGGTTTCCGATCATAGGTGTCTTCGAAGCTCGTATATCGTGGGACACCCGAGTGAGCAACGCTGTTATTAGGAAACGGGTGCTAGGTAAGAATGGCATATTAATAGACGCAGTAGTGACACTTCATCAGTTGAGGTGGTTGGGACATGTGTTACGTATGCTCAACCACCGACTGCCTCGTCGAGCTTTGTTTTGTAGTGTAGGAATAGGTTGGAAGAAAGCTAGGGGCGGCCAAACCAAACATGGCAGCAATCCATGAAATCATTGACGAGTGGACTTAGCCATGTCGGTAATTGTCGACTACCTGGGTGGGGTCCGCGAGATGATAATAATCGATGTTTAGAGACCTTGAATGACATGGCTCAAAATCGCTCGCAATGGCGCAGGTGCATTTAGTCTTTGTGTTCTCTCAAATCCTAATCTTCTGGATTCTTCAACCCTTCTTCTTTTTGACTTTCTAAACTTTTCTCACTGAATCATACTTCTTGAATAATATCTTCTAATCCTAATCTCTCCGATTACATCTAATACCTTTACTACCTCTTCTACTATTGGATTTGAATTGACAATTGCACATCTCTGTGCTAATGTGGAATGGCGACATGAACTGATGTACATACTTACGTACGAAGTTCTACGTTGCATCTGACTGACTGAATGCCTTGAACCAAAAAACGATCATCAAAATGAGAGAAAAGAGCGAATACATAATGATAGTTCAGTTTTAAGTGAGGGGAATTATTTTGCAATGCATAATAAGACTTATGAATTAGTCAACTGATGATGGAGGATTTCGTGAAAACATCTCGACATTTACATAACAAATGTTCAATGCAGTATAACATTAAACTTTGTGGTGATTTTGGATAAATATTAAAAAATTAAAATGATTTGTATAGATAAATTCACAAATTATTGATTAAATTTTGTTCACCATATTTTCCCAATTGAATAAACTCAAATTTCCCTTTGACTGCTTAGAGGAATTACAACTTATGAAATAATCACCTTCATGAGATGTGATCAGAACATCTTTAATCCAGTCAAATAAGGCAACCGTATTAAAAACTGACCATTAATACTAGTTTACACTAAACATCATGAAGAATACAAATTGCACAAAATATCAAACACAATCACAAATCAATACTTGTCATGAATATAAAGAGTAATCAGTCATCACCTGAAGCACTTGCTTTGACATAGAAGAGAGGACTTGTTTTAGTTTCATTATTGCTCGAATGTCTGTCCGATTGTCTTGAGGATAGACGTACATCGATGCTATTTTCATCAGCTTGAGGACATGTGATGTTAGATTTGTCTTCTGTGGATTATAACAAGAAAATTTTAAGAATTACTACTTGAGGTGTAGTTCCACATAAACGTTTGACTTGAATCTGAATAGTCAAACACTTTCATCTACAATCCAACTGATCCTATTAGACCATAATATTTGCTGTTCAAAAACGCTGAAAATGTACAACGATTACAACACTAACATTTCTCACTGATGTCAAGCAATGGTGCGCATAATATCTGATCAGTATTACATCTGGATGTTGTCAAGTACAACACAAAACCAAGTATAATGTAAGTAATATTATGAGCAACTCCTCCAGTAGAACCATCGAGGCTACTGCCGGTACCAAACGCGGATAAAGGAGGAGGGTTAGGTATGGGACTGGCGACCACATCCCGTCAAAAACTAACGTGCCAAAAAACGCTAACCAGAAAAAATAAATCAAAGCATTTTGACTCTGCCCTGGGAGTTGCAAGAAGAATTATGATGTCGCGTGATGAAAGCTGAGTTCCTTCGGAAGTCACGGGACCGATGCCTCTTCTGGCAACCACACCAACCATCTTTTTAAATACATCGAACGTTCAAACATTTCGGGAGATTGGAAGACTATTTCAAGTTGAGGCAGAAATGAGAAGATACAACCTCGATGTGCTCGGCATCAGTGAAACGCATTGGACGCAGGTAGGACAACTGAGACTAACTTCAGGGGAACTGCTGTCATATTCTAGTGATGAAGAGGAAAATATTTCATATACATAAGGAGTTGCACTGATGCTGTCCAAACAAACAAAATAGGCAGTAACAAGATGAGAATCTCATGGACCCACGATCATCAAAGTATCCTTCAAAACAAAGAGAGAGGACAATATAATGAATGTCATTCAGAACTACCAACGACTACAATGACGACGTTAAAGATCAATCATATGAAGGGCTACAGTGAGCCGTCGATAGATGCTCATCAATGGACATGACGATCCTGGTGGAAGACCTCGATTCCAAGGTTGGAATGGATGACACTGGATATGAAGAGGTCATGGAACAACATGGACTGGAAGTAAAGAAATGGACATATATTGGACAGATTCGGAAAGGAAAGACCTGGACTAAGTTGGTTGGAGAAAAATGGTGGGCGGCCTATACTCCATTGGGGGTAACAGGCGTAAGAAAGTAAGTAAGTATTTTGACCAGATACAAAAGCTGACCATTATTACTAGTTTACACTAAACATCATGAAGAATACAAATTGCACAAAATATCAAACACAATCACAAATCAATACTTGTCATGAATATAAAGAGTAATCAGTCGTCACCTGAAGCACTTGCTTTGACATAGAAGAGAGGACTTGTTTTGGTTTCATTATTGCTCGAATGTCTGTCCGATTGTCTTGAGGATAGACGTACATCGATGCTATTTTCATCAGCTTGAGGACATGTGATGTTAGATTTGTCGTCTGTGGATTATAACAAGAAAAAATTTAAGAATTACTACTTGAGATGTAGTTCCACATAACGGTTCAAGACTGTCGAAACTGTTAAACGATTACAGTCCTATTATTTTTAACTGGTTTCAAGCATTTATAGCCATCATGTTTAGTCAGTACTTCTATCGGATTTTGTCAAGTACATCACAAGAACGATATCCATCTGGAGCCCATCTGGGGCTGTAGCCGGTCCCAAACCCATAAAAATGAGGAGAGTTGGGTATGCTGCTAGCGACCGCATCCCATAAGTAAACTAACTCGCTAAATAAATACTAACCAGAAAAATCAATTCAAACTATTTTAACTTTGTTGTGTGAGTTAGGATGTCTCTTTTCAAAAGAATTATGACGTCTCATGATGACAGCCGAGTTCTCTCGGAAGCCGATGCCTCTTCTCACAACCAGAGAAAACATTCTTTTGGGTACATCGAATGTTCAAACATTGTGGGATACAGGAAGACTTTTTCAGGTTGCTGCAGAAATGAGAAGATACAACCTATAGGTGCTTGGAGTCAGTGAAACCCATTGGACGCAGGTAGCTTCAGGGAAACTGCTGTTACATTCTGGTCATGAAGAGGGAAATGCTTCATATACACAAGGAGTTGCACTGATGCTGTCCAAAGATGCACAAAGGCACTGATAGGATGGGAATCTCATGAAGCCAGGATCATTAAAGCATCCTTCAAAACAAAGAAGCAGGACATTACAACGAACGCCATCCAATGTTATGCACCTACCAATGACTACAATGACCACGTTAAAGATCAATTCTACAAAAGGCTGCAGTCAACCGTCGACAGATGCTCATTAAAGGATTTGACCATTCTGATGTGAGACCTAAATGCCAAGGTTGGCATGGATAACACTGGATATGAAGACATCATGGGACGACATAGACTGGAAGAAGGGAATGAGATTTGCAAACCTATGTGCCTTCAATAAACTGGTCATCGGTGGCACAGTATTCCCGCACAAACGCATTCACAAAGCTACATGGATTTCACCGAACCACACTACTCAGAACCAAATTGACCATATCTGTATCCACAAAACGTTCAGAAGGACCATGGAGGATGTGAGAACTAAGAGAGGAGCTGACATAGCCTAGGAACACCACTTTCTGGTCGCTAAAATAAAACTGGAACTCAGAAACGCTGGATAATGGGGCAGACATCGCAGAAGTTTAATACGGCCTTTCTTCGGGATACCGTAAAACTCAACGAATTCAAGATAGCCCTCAACAATAGGTTGGAGGCCTTTCATGATCTACTCAATGGAGAGGAAACAACCATGTATAACAGTTGGAAAGGGATCAAGGAGGCAATCACTCCAACATGTCACGAAGTTCTGGGTCACAAGAAGTACCATCACAAGGAATGGATGTCTGTTGATGCTGTTGAAAAAATCGAAGGAAGGAGGAACAAGAAGGCAGCAATCAACATCAACCGAACAAGAGCTGAGAGAGTCAAGGTACAAGGTGAATACACAGAATCAAATGAGCAAGGGCAGAGTAGCATCAGAGCCGACAAAAGTAAATATGTGGAAAATCTAGCAATGACGGTGGAAAAGGCTGCAAGAGAAGGAAGCTCAAGACAATTGTACCATACAACATAAAGGTTTGCTGGAAGCTATCGTAACTTAGAATGACCAGTGAAAAGTAAGAAAGGCAAAGTAATCATCAACACTGAAGAACAGCGAAACAGGTGGGTAGAGCACTGTAACGAACTCTTGAATGGACCGGCAACACTGAAGTCAAACGAAGTCGAAGCAGCATCTACGGACTTCCCTATTGACGTTGGCCAACCAACAACTGAAGAGGTCAGCTTGGCCATCAGACGAATCAAGCGCGGCAAGGCAGCGGGACGAGACAGCATTCCGAGGATTTGGGATGAAGAACCAGTAGCGACAGGATGGAAACAAGGATATGTGATCGAAATACCAAAAAAAAGACGATCCCAGCAAGTGTGAGAACTACAGAGGCATCACTCTTCTCTCAATACCAGGCAAAGTCTTCAACAGGGTATTGTTACACAGAATGAAGGACTTCGTAGACGTCCAACTTCGAGATCAACAGGCCGGATTTCGTAAGGATCGATTGTGTACCAACTAAGTTGTAACATTACGGATCAACTGAATGGGACTCACCACTCTACATTATCTTCGTTGACTACGAGGAAGCATTCGATAACTTGGACAGGACAACACTATGTAAGCTTCTTCGACATTACGGCGTGCCTGAGAATATGGTCAACATCATACGGAATTTATACGACGGATTAAACTGCGAAATCGTGCACGAAGGTCAGCTGACAAAATCGTTTGAGGTGAAAGCCGGTGTCAGTCAAGGTTACTTACTCTCACCCCTTCTCTTTCTCCTGGTGAACGACTGGTTTGTGAAGACGTCAACATCTGGAGGTAAGCACAGTATCCAATAGACAGCTAGGATGCAGCTAGACGACCTGGACTTTGCAGATGATCTGACTCTTTTATCATACACGCAACAACAAATGCAACAGAAGACGACCAGTGCATCAGTAGACTCATTAGCAGTATGTCTCAACATATATAAAGGGAAAAGCAAGGTTCTTCTATACAACACAACATGGGCCAACCGAACCACTCTTGATGAAGATGCCCTGAAGACGTTAACACCTTTACTTATCTGGGCAACATCATCGACAATCAAAGTGAATCTGATAGAGGTTTGACGGCATGGATCGTCAAAAAGCCATCAATCAACACCGAAATCAGAATTTTCAATAAAAAATGTCAAAGCTCTGCTGTTTGGAGCGGAAACTTGGAGAACTACGAAGGTCATCATCCGGAAGATAAAAGTTTTATTTATTAGTCACCTATGCAAAATACTTCGGAATCGTCGGTCAGAAACCATCAGCGACCGCCTGCTGGGGGAGAGAACAAACCAGATTCCAGTGGAGGAGAAAATCAGGAACAAGCGGTGGAAGTGGGTGGAATACACACTGAGTAAAGCACACAACTTCCTCACAAGATAAGCGCTTACTTGCACCCCTCAGTGGCAAAGAAAATGAGGTAGGCCACAAAACACATTACACCAGGAGATACACTAAGATATGTAAGTAAAACTCAGAACATAAAAAATAAAGAGTAATGGCCGACGAAAAAAGCACCGTTAAGGCTACCAGGCAAAAAACCTAAGTAATAAAAACCAAAAATTGAGGTAAGTCGTAACTGGACCACATAAAAATCAATACTCATCATGAATATAAAGTAATCAGTCGTCACCTGAAGCACTTGCTTTAACATAGAAGAGAGGACTTGTTTTGGTTTCATTATTGCTCGAATGTCTGTCCGATTGTCTTGAGGATAGACGTACATCGATGCTATTTCCATCAGCTTGAGGACAGATGATGTTAGATTTGTCGTCTGTGGATGATAACAAGAAAACATTTAAGAATTACTACTTGAGATGTAGTTCCACATAAGCGTTTGACTTGAATCTGAATAGTCAAACACTTTCATCTACTACAATCCAAATATTCATGTCAACCTATAATTATTGATGTTTAAGAACGTCGAAACTGTACAACGATTACAACCCTAACAATTCTAACTGGTTTCAACTAATGGTACGCATGATGTCTGATCAGTATTACATTACAGCCCTAACATTTCTAACTGGTGTCAAGCATTTATATCCATCATGTTTAGTCAGTCTTTCATTTGCATTCTGTCAAGAACATCACAAAACCAAGTATAATATAAGTATTATTTTGACCAGATAAAAAACTGACCATTATTACTAGTTTACACTAAACATCATGAAGAATACAAATTGCACAAAATATCAAACACAATCACAAATCAATACTTGTCGTGAATATAAAGTAATCAGTCACCTGAAGCACTTGCTTTGACATAGAAGAGAGGACTTGTTTTGGTTTCATTATTGCTCGAATGTCTGTCCGATTGTCTTGAGGATAGACGTACATCGATGCTATTTTCATCAGCTTGAGGACATGTGATGTTAGATTTGTCATCTATATATATTAACAGAAAAATTTTGAGCATAAATACTTGAGTTGTGCTGCAACTTATATGTTTGACTTGAATCTGAATAGTCACGCACTTTCATCCATGGAGGGATTGAATCTACATAATAATGAAGCATTACTCATATGATACCTGTTGATCCTTCTTCAGTGTCAGGATTCACCTGCTGAGTATCTGTAAAATTCTTTAGACCAATTTTAATGACAGTATTTCAAGAACCTCGCATGCATTCTTTCGAGTAGATAACTCAAACGTCAAAGGACAGCACCCAAATCTCAGTTTGTCTCCTTTGGCTATACTAACAATTCCGTTTACTCTTCGATCATTTACAAATGTCCCCTATTGATATTGATCATAAATAATTTATTTTTGAAATTACTTTACGGGAAGACAAGTCTCTTAGGACAAGTGAACCATCAGAAGGATCATATTCTATAACTGCATGCTGCTGTTCAACCGTGGGGTTCTAAAATGAGAGTTATAACTACAAATATTTACGTCAATAATAATGTCACACCCCGTTCTACCGATAGTGGTTATCCTTGGACAAATAGGATAGTCCCACTTCAAAGGTTTCGTCGAAAGAAACATGATTTAGGTGCTGAACTTGCTACCTATTCATTTGTCGTCAATAAACATCCTAATATTGTGATTTATGAATATTTTCAGCATTCATAAAAACGGTGTCGTTGTGTAGATATGTTACTAAGCTGCAGGTGAACTTAGTGTAGTAAAACAAAACGTTTCGAGTCCAGTGATATCACACATAAGCTAGAAATAATAATCTCTTACGGCTTATATTTCGAAAATTTCATTATTTTAGACACACCGAATGTTCATCAGTTAACATATAGCTGCCCTGATGACTACGATATTTAGAATGCCACTCAATTCAAATGGGCTCACTGAATGTAACCATAAACAAATCCTTAAAGTAAACAGTTTTGTAACTCCTAAACAGTAGAGCCGATTGCATTTATTTTACCGGAGATATTCTCCTTCATATATCCCCACTAAATTTCTGTTGTGTAGACCGTACTACACATTCTTTCTCAACAACTAGCCAGTCTTAATTACTCGCTTATCGACATTTCATCTTCCCCCCCCCCCAATATACTTTTTTCTCTCGCATTCATGGCTTCTAATTTGACTGTGTTCATTACTCTCGATACGAATGGATTTAAGGAAAATAAGCATTGTCAATCACTTGATATCCAAGATATTTAGATTGATGAGCATGACGTGATCTAGTTCATTAGGCAAAAAATTGTGACTGTTTTCCTCGTTGAAAAACCATACATATACACATAAATTTACAGATTATCTTCAAGTTTTGAGATTTGTTCATACATTTAAATATATTATTGTTATTCACTACATAGGCTATTAATAGTTGCGACAATTAAACACCTAACATTCAACTCCTTCCACTGTAACGTAATAAAATTGAGAACTGAGTACGGCACGAAAGACCGAAGTTAAGCTCCTAATGCTTCCCAAAAGTATGACTTATCAACTTAATCAGTGTTGTTACCGCAATATCTATCTTTTGGAAATTGTAGGAATAACTACATCTTCTCAGATCTAAATCCATTTATCAGAGCAAACACATCAGGAAGCAGTTACACCTAATGTTGGCTTAAGTAACTCACTCACCTGATTTTCCCTATTGAAGAGGTGTCATTACTGACACTTTCTAGAATACTATGACTTACTTACCGACGTCGTCAGATCGATTTTTTTAGAAGGTACTATGTTGTCTGTTCATGGACTCTTAATCTCTAGTTGGAACTTACGCCTGATCAAAGTTTTACATAGATTTGATCAATTCCTTCAACCGATTTTCGATAAGGACCCAGTATCCAACATCTTTTTTACTAGTTAATATAAACCAATTGATTTCTTTGCTCTTGATTCTTGTCCTTTCGGTACGGCTCCAGGTGTTCACTAGTGTCCAGTGAATGGGAGTCTAGCCACTCGACTGTCTAATTCTAGTCAGATGGCAGTTGATTGTGAGTTTGTTTGTCTCGGTACTTGAATGAAAACGTTTGTTTAAGGAAAGTAGGGTTTCTGGATACCAACAGCCGTCACATTATCAGAGTGGAGATCAGTTAGTTGCAATGTGGAGAGTAAAAATGATAATAAGGATAAAATTTTAATGCTAATATGAATAAAATTTCAGAACTCAGTCACATATAGATTATTTAGCTTATTAATTAGTAGTGAAGATTGTGATAGACGACCGAAGTGTAAGCGATGCAGAGGAAACAGAGATAACAGGCGAGATAGGTTAACTAAGTTATCTGAGGAGATAACAATGGTAACAACTAACAGGTCTCAAGATATGCATCAGGCACAGCCTATCCACGAGGGAGATGATAATCCGTATATGAGTACCTGTTTATCAAGCCTCTTATTATAGCTATCCACTGAAGTGTCTATGGTGGTGCATCGGTAAGATGCTCACGTTGAGAAGGTTTTGCGTGCCTAATATGTTGTACGTCATAATCAGATCTCCTCTTACCCCCCTGTAGCTCAGTGGGAATAATCCTGAGTGCTCCAGGTGTGAACGCGCGTATGTCTTAAATACTGTTATGAATAATTCTGGTATGATAGCACCAAGTTGTCTTCACATAATGTAAAGAGTCTCATTTTCCTTCACTGCGTCCCCTACATAGTTCGGACTCGTGCCGAGGGTTTCTGTGGTTACTAAACCCTCTCTGAGGAGACATTAGGGAGCGTACTTCCATTAAGGGTTTAGATCGTTTGCACTTTTTGGGACAGAATGAACTTGACGTGAAACTTCAGTAGGTTTAGTTTTAAACAATTTTTCATTGTCCATTCCCCAATGCATGTAAGGTGCTATTGAAGCTCAGTCGAATCCTATTCGCTTCTTATAGACCTCCAAATCTTTGCATCGTCTGCGTAGATCAATGCCGGTGAGCTAACTGTGTCTAAAAGGTCGTTAATAAATATTAGGAAGAGAAGCGAACCTAAGATGGTCCCCTGTGAAACTCCCGATGTGGATACTCGCTAGCTCGCGTGTACAATATTTACCTTGGTACGAAACTTATATTATCATAGTAGTTTCTGAGCCAACACACGAGTGGGTAAGTGAAGCCTATTTCCGCAACCTCTGTGATATAACGTGTGTGGGGTACTGTGTCGAAGACTTTTGCGATGTCGAGAAATATTGCGTGCGTCGGTATTTTTCGGTCCAAGCAGGATGTCCTAATGTCCCATGCTATGAGAATATTAGATGCACATGACCTGCATTTCCGAAACCCGTGTTGGTCTTCATGGAGTATTTTATTCTTATCCATGTACTCCCTGATTTGTTCGTCGATCAGCCCTTCGATTGCCTTTGAAAGGAATTGTAGTAATGCGACTTGTCTGTAACAGGCTGGGTCATTCCTATCTCCTCCTTTGAAGATTGAAGAGAGGGTGGGTTGTTTTCATCCACCTGGTAGTTGGGGTGACTCCAGTGAGTGCCTGAACAAGTTAAATATCGGTGAACAGAGGTCTTTTGCACACTATCGCAAGACTATTGTCACAACCTGGTGACTTACCTTGGCGTAGGAATTTTAGTTTCCTTAGTAATAAGTCGGAAGTGATACGGATATTCGCTAAGCCTTTATCTGGCACTGGGTTTGCGTAGTACAATGAACATGTAGATGCTTGGTTTAAGTGGTCGGTGAAGTTTGTGCTGAAGATCTCAGCCATCTCTAGGTTGGTGAGATCCTCACCATTCCGACCCTCGAGAGAACACGAAAAGCGTTGGAAAAGGCAGCGGCGATAGGCAACACTAGACAACTTTTCCGCCTTATCAAAGAAACCGGTATTAGGAACCCGAATGTAAGTGAGACTATCTCGGAAAAGGATGGTCTTATTATCCATTCTCAATCTAGGAGGCTGGACCGATGGGCAGAACACTTTAGGGATCAGTTCAACTGGCCTTCAGCCACTCTTCGGTTGCCCACGATCTCCAGTCATCCTGAATGGCAAATCGATTTAAGTCCTCCCAGTTTACATGAAGTTGAGAAAGCTATAGGTAATCTAAGGAGAGGTAGAGCGGCAGGTCCCGATAGGCTTACCCCAGAGATGTTTAAGGATGGTGGTCCAGTTTTAACGGTTAAACTGACCGAGATCCTAGGTAGAATCTGGGAAATGGACGTAATCCCATCTGACTGGTCTCAGTCGCTAATTGTCCCAATCTACAAGAAAGGACAGAAGTCCTCTTGTGACAATCACAGGGGAATAAGTTTAACTAATATAGTTTCTAAATTGTTAGCCTCGATTATACTTAGACGTCTAACTAGAGCTCGTGAAGAGCAGACTCGAGAAAACCAGGCTGGTTTTCGACCTGGACGTGGTTGTATAGACCACATCTTCACACTACGACAGGTCCTGGAACACAGACACACATTTAGGCGTCCGACAATAGTCGTGTTCCTGGACCTTAAGGCGGCATTCGACTCAGTGGATCGTGAGGTTCTGTGGCAGTGTCTGTCATTGAAAGGTGTACCAAAGAAGTACATTAACCTTATACAAGCACTCTACTCGAACACCACTGGTCGGGTGAGAGCATATGGCGAACTGTCATCTGAATTCTCTACATCAAGTGGTGTCCGTCAGGGCTGTCCACTCTCTCCATTCTTGTTTAACTTTGTCGTAGACACCCTCTTAGAGTTAACATTAAGCTCGTCAGATTTTTCAGGGGTTGACCTTCTACCAGGAAAGTCGCTTACTGATCTAGAATATGCCGATGACATAGTTCTATTCGGTGAAGACGCTGACAAAATGCAGAGTCTTCTGACTACCATAAGCAACAATGCGAGCATGTTCGGAATGCGGTTTTCCCCCTCGAAATGCAAAATGTTGCTTCAAGACTGGGTTGCATTGGCACCTGAACTAGTGATAGGGAGTGAAGTAGTCGAACGTGTAGATCACTTCACTTATCTGGGGAGTCTCATCAGTGCTGACGGTCTGGTGACTGACGAAATCTCAGCTCGGATACAGAAAGCTCGATTGGCTTTTGCCAACCTGCGTCATTTATGGCGTAGGCGTGATATCCGTTCGCTAACCAAAGGACGGGTGTACTGCGCAGCAGTTCGCTCCGTTCTCCTACATGGCTGTGAAACATGGCCGTTAAGAGTAGAAGATGTTCGTAGGTTACTAGTATTCGATCATAGATGTTTAAGAAGCATTGCTCGTATATCGTGGGACAGCCGAGTAAGCAATGCTGTCGTTAGGAAACGAGTACTAGGTAAGGATGGCAGATCAATCGATGAAGTGGTGAAACTTCATCAGTTGAGGTGGTTGGGACATGTGTTACGTATGCCTAACCACCGACTGCCTCGACGAGCTATGTTTTGTGGTGTAGGAGTAGGTTGGAAGAAAGCTAGGGGCGGCCAGACCAAAACATGGCAGAAATCCATGAAGTCACTGACAAGCGGACTGAGTCATGTTGGTAGATGTAGACTACCTGGTTGGGGTCCGCGAGACGAAAGTCATCAATGGTTAGGGACCTTGAATGACATGGCTCAAAATCGTTTGCAATGGCGCAGGTGCATCCACTCTTTGAGTTCTCTCAAATCCTAATCTTCTGGATTAGCCAGCACCTCTACCTTTTTCTTTCTAACCTTATCTCACTGAGTTATATTTTTTGAATAATATCTTAAACCCTAGTCTTCTTTATTATAACATTAATACCTCTACTATCTTTATCACTATGGAATTTGATTTGACATTTGCGTCTCTGTGCTAATAATGTGGTATGGCAACATGAACTTATGTACATACGTACGAAGTTCTACGTTGCAACTGACTGACTGACTGACTGATTCGTAGGTTTTCTTTTAGGCATGAACCTAAATAGATGCTTCACGTCTGCATTTATATTAGCAGTCAACTTCATCTGAAGTCGTCTCCCATCACTTCGAACTCTGGTATTGCATCTGTTTCTCAATGACAATAAAGAACTAAAGAACTTCAAGTAGACCTTCCACCTGTGCCAGGCCCTCCTCTTTGCATGTAGCAAGCGTTTGGTTCCGCCAATAACCCATGTTCTTCTATTCACGGTGTGTGGTGTGAATGAGGTACATTGCCAAGGAGAGCATTCTGGATGATGTCTCTCACTGTTTGCCAGTGATCGTCTGCTGTCAGCTTCCACCGCTCCCGTGGTCATGAGGTTTGTGGGAGGATCCCTCTCATAAGCGTATAATTTGCACTAGTGTAGCAAAAATATGGTTCGTTTTCGTCCTGTGTGTGTTTCGTTTATGATCATGTTAAAAATGACTGTACCACGGTCACTACTTCCTACTGGTGTATGGACTTGAACGTCGTCGACCAGCATCCGATCATTTGTTAACAAACAATCTAGGTTTGTTTACTTTCCTTCCTTAGTCCATCTAGTGGCACTGCCTACGTGCTCAGTCAGCCCAGAGCTTCTAAGGACTGCTCCAAGTCGTCTTTGCAACCAACCAGTGGGAGTTGTTCTTTGATTGCTGAGATTTACAGATTGGATATTGAAATATTCAGCTAAGAGTATTTGATCAAATCCCAAGAGTGGCAAATGCAGTATGGCCTCAGTCAGTTTGTCTTTCTGGGCCTTAGTACCTGAGGGAGGTCGGTAAATCCTTCCAATCAAGTGTTTCGTGGCATGTGCGTAAAAACAACACCAACATGAATCTGTCACCTCAGTTAATTTACCTGAGTCTACCTGAAACGACGACAATTCCTGTGTGTATTCAGCAAATTTAGGCATCACATCATGACATTAGGACTAATTACATTCTTGAATAGCTCTCCAAATACAAGACTAGCTATGAATGAATCCAACCATATGATGGATTATCAATTTATCCGGCTATGGGTATATCCGTCGCACGTAGTGCGCAGACGTATAGAATCTTTTAACTTTCGACCAGCGATTATTAATGCTTGAATACGAAAAGCACACTGAATTTTCATCTACAACCCCACATTCACGAACTAACAGCTACTTTTAAAGGTGCAACTGTTTTTTACAAAATTGGCAAGGCCGAAATTGATGAAGACATAATAATTGATCTCATAACCTTAATGAAGAATGGAAATATTTGAAAACCTCAAGTAAGCGACTCGTTCAACAAGCAGACAAACTCTATCACAGCTGGACTCCATCTTCACTGGAGGGGAATTCCTGATTGAGTACATTTCAATCATAGCTCTCTATGAAAATATAGATATCGCAATCATAATGAAAATTTTAAATTGGAAGACTGAATCCAGAAAGTCTGCCAATTGTAAGGCTTGTAATTTTAAACCATTGAATTCATCAGGTTTTCACGAAAAAATAGTCTTTGGTATTAGATCAATCTAATCCACAGATTTGTTTCTAATCCCGGAAAATTATTCCGTTATGTAGCTTATTCTTGACAGCCTGAGCAGTAGGTTACAAAATGTTGGATCCCAATGGCTCGACCAACGACTACAGTATGCCTCGGTGACATCGTGAACAGCGGCTGAAATCGTTAAACCTGCAAGCATCAGACCATATGCCTCATACGAATGACCTCCATGTTTTAACACCTTATAAAGGTATAAACCTTCAGTAGGATACATGCTTAATCTCGGTATTAACACTAAACTGAGGGACTATACCTAGAGACTGGAGACAACATAGCAGATTGGTCTGCACAGCAAATATACTTAGCTTCTCATCTCTAGGCACTAGTGAGTCACTTTTTCTAGATAAGGGTGCCAAACAAGCGAAAGCTTACTCTATTGTGCCCACATCTTTTTGGACTGTGAGGAAATTGTTTTAATCGATCATTACTTCTCCCACTACTTGACTCGGATTTAAATGGTTGCGGAATTGTGTTAAGTTCAGAAGGCCTTGGTACACGTGAGTTTTTCATCTCGAGTCTTTTGATCCTCTTCTGGTTCACTTTGTGACTTTAGTATAACGGCTAGCACACTTGTTACCGGGTTTTTCAAACATAGGCATCCTAATAATATATTTGGAATATAGTTTATACGTTCTAAAATTTTGACCGTGAAAATAACAAAGCTGACAAATTTAAGGAGCGATTTACTTTCTCGTGTAGAATTCTTACTTACGTTTTATAACTTTTAGTTTGTCTTGAGACCCTATAAATTGCATGTCACACCCTGTTTAAATTGGTTTTTGCCAATATTGAAGCATGAAATCTGTATTTAATTTCTAAAAATCCAATTGACTATTATATCCAATTCCCAATGCTATTAGAAATTTGTGTCAAGTCTCTTAAAATATGGCGAATGGAGGATATTCAAATTACAGGATGTTTGGTATTGTTCAATGATTAAAGATATTCGATGTGTTTTCCAAGTTTTATAGTTTTTCACTGAAATTAGTTTCCAAAGTTCTGGTAATCCACCTAATCGTATGATGATATACATCATTATTACTCCCTTGTACATCCATCGTCTTTATGTCTACGTGCAGATGTTATAGTGATATTTGCTGAAAAATAGTCCGGTAGTACATAAATATCATTATTTTCAGCAACAAATCAAGTCGTTAGCAAAGGTCGTCAAATATGTGATAATTTTCAGATGTTCTGAAGTCATGCATTCCACGAATGGAAAATTAAGTAGTTGTCATTTGAAATCATATTTTTTGGTTTACATCAGTTTTGTTCAGCTAGCCTGTAGTAAAACTTCTACAGCAGAGTACATTTGATATGTACTGAATGCCACTTATTATGCTGCAATTATTTAGTTATAAACGAACTGGTTCAGTTTACAGGACTTCACCTAACGCAAATGTACAATTTATAGTGAAGAACATACATACTTTGTAATTGTTTGGTTACTTGTCTCTAGAACATAACCTGCATGCTTACAAATAAAAGAATAATTGTAATGTAAAATTAGACTTAAAAACATTGGTCGATCGGGTTGTAGATAGTCGTTATGCAAGGTGACTGAGCTATTTATTGTACGTATCAAATTATTGTGAACCTTGGCAAAGTGATCACTGAAACAGGTCGTAGTTAAATCAAATAAAACGTTTCATGTTAAAATTTTCATTGAACTTAAAGTAATTTGTTGTATAAAATTTATTTATTTATACGAATCTCATAATTAGTGTGTAGGAAGGTGAATGTGTCTGCTTCACCTTTGTCAATTTTAAACTATATCGTTCATTGCTAACAGTCTTAGGTTGTGATCGATTGTAGTCCATAATCAAGAAGTCTTTACTTTTTGATACCACCCTCACTAATAGTTAATGACCTCGTAGATTATGATCATGTCTTGATCTTACTGCTTCTATAAACTGTACTTCAGATTAACACAGCTATTTGTAATAAGTAGTGATTTGGTATTCTTAATGTATCCTAACCGAAGGTAAATATATATTTCATCTATATTCTATTTTCCTTATCGGGATTAATGCTATTTCCTAAGGACTGGCATATTATTTTAAGTCAGTGACTTTCAGTTGTTTGAACACTACCCATCCTATCTGGATAGGAACATTAGACTAGTACAACTAGCCCTACCGTGAAAAGTTCACCACATGTAAGAACAAATTATTAGGTTTAGTATGTGTTATTTTAGCTAACATAAACTTTAGAAACACCGATATTATTCTATTGTTACTTTCTAGCTTGTTGATAAAATGTATGACTATGTCGACTAGACTAAAAACTAAGTAGAATTATGGTTTTGATGCAACCGATTCATCAAACAGAGTTCTTGTTTCATAAAATTGCCATTATCTGACTGTGTTTTTGGCAGATCAATAGATGAAATGCTGAAACTTCATCATTTGAGGTGGTTGGGACATGTGCTGCGTATGCCTAACCACCGACTACCTCGACGAGGTATGTTTTGTAGTGTGGGAATAGGTTGGAAGAAAGCTAGGGGCGGCCAAACCAAAACATGGCAAAAATCCATGAAGTCATTGACAAGTGGACTGAACCATGTCGGTAATTGTCGACTACCTGGTTGGGGTCCACGAGATGATAATAATCGATGGTTAGGAGAGACATTGGATGACATGGCTCAAAACCGTTTGCAATGGCGCAGGTGCATTTATTCTTTGTGTTCTTTCAAATCCTAATCTTCTGGATTCTTCAACACCTCTAGTTTCGACTTTCTAAACTTTTCTCACTGAATCATAGTTCTTGAATAATATCTTTTAATCCTAACCTCTTGGATTACTTCTAATACCCTTACTACCTCTTCTACTTTTGGATTTGAATCGACAATTATATCTCTGTGCTGATAAGGTATGGTAACATGAACTGATGTACTTACGTACAAAGATCTACGTTGCATCTGACTGACTGATCTGACTGTGTTTATTTCCCTTATGAGAGGTTATACGCCAATTAGATTCAATAAACTCTGTTTAATGTTTTATAAAAAAGTGTGTTTTACAGAAAATATCTTAATTATTTAATCGAGGCATTGTTCTCACTTTTTTTTCAGATAGAATTGCACCATCCTCTATAATGAGTGGATTACAATCAAACACATTTGATAATATCATCCTTCTATGTGATTCATATAAGGTTTGTCAATCCTGTTGTTTTGTTATGTCAACTTTTTCCCCTTTTTCAAATTTAAGGTGAGTCACTATTCTCAATATCCTGCTGGAACAGAAGTAATTTATTCCTATTTTGAAACACGTGGTGGAAAATTTCCAAATTCTGTATTTTTTGGATTACAGTATATTTTGAAAAAAAATTTAGTTGGTCAAGTTGTAACACATGAAAAAATTGATGAAGCTAAATCAATTCTCTACAATCATTTTGGTAGAGATATTTTTAATGAAGAAGGATGGAGATATATAGCTAATGTTAGTTTTTTTCGCTGTATTTTTTGAATATCTATTCTAGCATCATAATGGTTATTTACCAATTATTATTAAAGCAGTACCTGAAGGTACATTAGTACCAACTAAAAATGTATTAATGACTGTGGAAAATACCGATCCAAAATGTTATTGGCTTACTACTTATCTTGAGGTAGGTTAATATTTATGGATCAATATATTACACAGTATATTATTAGACTATCCTAGTACAAGTTTGGTATCCAATGGCTGTAGCGACTAATTCACGAGCAATGAAACAAATTATTGTTAAATATCTACACGAAACTGCAGATGATATTTCCACTGAATTTAAATTACACGATTTTGGATTTCGAGGCGTCTCTTCAATTGAGGCAAGTGTGTTGTTGTGTAAAATTTAAATTGCTTTAAATTTATGTTTTGTCAACTTCTTGTCTTCATTTATGAAGTTTTGACTATGTTTTGTTAAAAGAGAGTGTATGCTTGAGGTTTCTATTATTTGTAACGGCAAAAAGTTATGCTTCGTGTGAATTGAGAACGTCAGTCAGTCAGTCAGTCAGTCAGATGCAACGTAGAACTTTGTACGTAAGTAAGTACATCAGTTCATGTTGCCATACCACATCAGTACAGAGATGTAATTGTCAATTCAAATCCAATAGCAGTAGATGTAGAAAAGGTATAAGAAGTAATCGGAGAGGTTAGGATTAGAAGATATTATTATTCAAGAAGTATGATTCAGTGAGAAAAGTTTAGAGAGTCGAAACTAGAGGGGTAGAAGAATCCAGAAGATTAGGATTTGAGAGAACACAAATAATAAATGCACCGGCGCCATTGCAAACGGTTTTCAGCCATGTCATTCAAGGTCTCTAACCATCGATTATTATCATCTCGTGGACCCCAACCAGGTAGTCGACAATTACCGACATGGCTCAGTCCACTTGTCAATGACTTCATGGATTTCTGCCATGTTTTGGTTTGGCCGCCCTTAGAATTGAGAACGTAATAATAAGTTTAAAGAAAAAGTCAAATTTTTTTGTGTACATTGGTATGCAAAACAAAGTTTTCTTTTCCAGTTCATTGGTTATATATTTTAAGAAAAAAACCCCGATTATTTGAAATCTCAAAAGATTTAAAAGTACTCAAATTTAAATGAGGAACTGTTGAATATATATATTCATCTAACTCCTCAAAAGATATAAACTTTGATACAAAAGAGTGCAGATATATATATATATATATATATATATATATATATATATATATATATGTGCGCCATACCAAATCACTGGAACACACTCTCCGAGTACCCAAAACCGAAGTAGATGGTTTTCCTAGGTAACAACTCCTTGAGCACCTTTGGTTCAAAAGTTTACTCCACAAGGCTGAAATAAGCTTAGTCAGTGACAAACAGCAGGTTCATATGTCACGTTTTTCCCCTGTGTGCACTATAAATCTAAAATGAGGGTTTACCAGTTCCTCAGCAAGCCAGTTTAAACTTCCACCGGACATTCGCTCTTCGTCCTCCCATTTTCTTAAATACCTCTGCTATAGGAAGACAGTGAGTAGGACTTTACTTTTCAATGGATAAATTGGATTTGCGATGTGAGAGCATTTGAAGAGGGAGACTGGACTGTCTTTACTCTGAAGCATTTATGTGCTGAGACTTCTCTATAAAATATCTGATTCCACCCATATACTACATAAGACCAAGGTTATTAACTATTAGTTTCTTGTTTTCTAATAGTTAGTGTGAAAGAGATGAGCTAAATGGCTCAAAATAGAACTATTTGATAATTCACACTTTGCATTGGCAAATTATCGATATGGATTACTACTGCTGACATTTATACCATACTTTTTTCACTAAGATTTTAATTGTCCGCTTTAAAACAAGTAGTTGGCAGTAGTATTATTGACAGTAGAAAAAAGATTGGGTATGGAAGTCATAAATTTTAAAGAAAAAAGTAGGGAATTTCAGAATCATAAAAAAAAATGATGGGTGAGACTGCTCAAAATCCTTAGATTAATCAGAGTTAGACATTATCATCGATGGATGCCGGCTGAGTGGTCCAGCGGTTAAGCGTTCACGCCCTAGACCGAATGTCCTGGGTTCAAATCCTGCTAAGTAAACTCGTATTTTGGTTAGCAGACGGGTATCTCGCCGACACCATAAGTGATGCAAGCTAACAAAAGCCATTCGAGCCTTCTGTATCCGTGCTGAGATTTCGTCAGTTACCAGACTATCAGCACTTATGAGACTCACGAGATAAGTGGAGCGGTTAACACGCTCAGCTGCTTCACTCCCTATCACTAGTTCAAGTGTGTGTGCAAGCAAATCCTGGAGCAACATTTGCATTTCGACGGTGAGAATCGCATCCGAAACAGGGCAGTCAGGAGACACTGCATTTTACCAGTGTCTTCACGAAGTAAAACTATGTTATTAGCGTATTCCGAGTTAACAAACAAATCTCCTGGTAAAAGTTCGAAAGTCAAACGACGAAAGTGTCGTATCTAAAAGCATGTTAATGATAAAGTTAAATAAGAATAGAGAAAGTGAACAACCCTGACAAACACTGCTTGAAGCAATTAATGCTGAAGATCGTTCGCCATAAGCTCTGGGTCTGTAGTGAGTGCCTCCACATATATTTCAGTTCGCTTATACCTAATTTGGTTAAGCTCTTTCGATTAATTTATTTAACCAAGCTATTTGTATTGCAACAACTGATATGTGCCCATTCGTTCTTATTATTGTCTGGTTTGTATGAGCTCACATGACGTGTCCCACTTGTCCTTTGACCTTGTCAATCATTCGTCGCTTTATTCATGTGTGCCTATTTCGCTTGTTGCATGTCTGTCTTATATTTGTCTGACTTTATATTCTTAGCCATGCTCTCTCTATTTCTTTGAGTTGGCTCTTAGCATTCTCCAATGCGCTCCGCCTATTCGTTCGCTTCCTTCGCTCGTTTTTTCTCTGCTTTTCAACTCCACTATGTGGTGTGTCCAAAATATAAACGTATTCATACTTCGAATTTGCCTTCTGATTTATAAACCGTTAGACGCTACTTAGTGACGATTGTCTAGACGAGCTAATTACCGAGCTATCCGAACACGCAAATAAATGGACTCCACAGGTCGACTAGTAATGTTAGAGTAGGGAGCTTTTATAAGGTTAATGCACTTCTCTGGTGGTACACCTTTTAATGACAGACACTGCCATAGTTCCAGAGGTTTCCTGTCGCCGATCACTTCTCCAAACTTCACCATTTTTTTATTTAATTTACTAAGTGATCATTTTAATTTTATCTCTCATTCATTCATGCATGACAGTCTGCTGCAATTGGTGGCACTGCACATTTAGTGAATTTCAGAGGAACTGACAGTTTGGTTGCCTTGTTATTTGCCAGAAAGTATTACAATTGTCCAACAGCAGGATTTAGTATACCGGCTACGGAACACAGGTAAGTATTATGACAAACTATGTATGTATATATTCGTATATATTTATATGTGTGTAAATTACTCAACGATTGACTGCATCTTCGTTTCCTTCTGAACTTTTATCCTGTTTCTGTGTGAATAGTGAGTTGATTTTTGTGCATAAATTTCTCAAATCTTTCTATACGTCCGATAAATTCTATCAGTGAAAATAAAATAACGGCTTCATCACTCCATTAAGTTTTTATATTAACCCTTCATCTATTTGAAAATGCCTACTTATTATATCAATTGATTAGATCAATTAATGAAGTATTAAAACTTCATCAGTTAAGGTAGTTGGGACATGCGTTACGAATGCCCGACCATCGACTGCCTCAACCAGTTTTTTGGTAGTGTAGGAGTAGGTTGGAAGAAAGCTAGGGGTGGCCATACCAAAACATGGCAGAAATCCATGAAGTCACTGACAAGCGAACTGAGTCATATTGGCTACCTGGTTGGGGTCCGCAAGACGAAAGTCACCGATGGTTAGAGACCTTGAACGATATGGCTCAAAATCGTTGGAAATGGCTCAGGTGCATTCGCTGCGAATCATATCTTCGCTCCCTAATCTTCTCCATTACTGCTAATAATTCTACTATCGCTGTCACTCTTGGATTTCAACTGACACTTGCGTCTCTGTGCTGATGTGGTATGGCAACCTGAACTGATGTACTTACGTACGACGTTCTACGTTGTAACTGACTTATTATATCTATCGGTAACTAACAGTCTTCGTTTGTATATATATGTTGATTTAGACATGTTAAGCGTGAAGCAGCTGTCACCAATGGGATTAGATAATCTTTGCACTAAATCACAAATTGATGGAAATTCACATGATACCTATCAGACTTTACCACAGTTATTCTAATGGATTGCTCCTCCTATCCAAAAAACTTGAAAGTTTTAAATTCACTCTCTCTAGATGAGATTGTAAGTGTTCCGTACTGAGAAGGCATTTATTCTCAGAACTAAATATTTGTATTATGCTCTGTGATTTTCAATAGTAATTCTCAAGGTTTCGTTTCTCTTTTTTTTCATCTCAATTTGTGTTAATCACATATGACAATTTTGAGCTGTAATACACAACTGTGGCAGGCTTTGTTGTTGTTAATCATATCAATCTTAATCTTCCTATTGTAAGAATATCAATAGTTGTGTATATTGTCTTGAATTGATATCATTGAACAATGCCTCGTTGTGTATATATGATATGAAATGGATACATGTTTTCTATGCATGGTTGGAAAGTGTTCACAAATAGATAAATCAATCAGTCAATCAGTCAGTCATTTAGATGCAACGTAGGTACATCAGTTCATGTTGCCATACCACACTAGCACAGAGATGCAATTTTCAGTTCAAATCCCATAGTGGTAGAGATAGTAGAGGAATTACCGCTAATGGAGAATATTAGGATTTGAAGATATTATTCAAGAAGTATAATTCAGTGACTGAGTTTAGAAAGACAAAGGTAGATGTGTTGACGAATCTAGAAGATTAGGATCTGAGAGAACACAAAGAGTGGATGCTCCTGCGCCATTGCCAACGATTTTGAGCAGACAGACAGACAGATGCAACTCAGAACTTCGTACGTAAGTACATCAGCTCAGCTCACCATACTACATCAGCACAGAGACGCAATTGTCAGTTCAAATCCAACAGTGATAGTGATAGTAGAAGTATTAGCAGTGATGGAGAAGATTAGGGAGCGAAGATATGATTCGAAAAGTATAATTCGCTGAGAGATAAATTTAGAAAGAGAAATGTAGAGATTATGAGGAATTCAGAAGGTTAGAATTAGAGAGGACACAAAGAGTGGATACACCTGCGCCATTTCCAACGATTTTCAGCCATATCATTCAAGGTCTCTAACCATCGGTGACTTTCGTCTTGCGGACCTCAACCACGTAGCCTACATCTACCAACCTGACTCAGTCCACTTGTCAGTGATTTCATGGACTTGTGCTATGTTTTGTTCTGGCCACCCCTAGCTTTCTTCCAACCTACTTACTTACTTACTTACTTAAGCCTGTTACCCCCAATGGAGCATAGGCCGCTCACCAGTTTTCTCCAACCAACTCTGTCCTGGGCTTCTCTCTCCAATTCTGTCCAATGTTTGTTCATTCCTCTCATATCTTTCTCTATTTCTCGGCGTAATGTATTCTTTGGCCTTCCTCTTTTCCTTTTGCCTTGAGGGTTCCATGTGAGGGCTTGTCTCGTGACGCAGTTAGGTGCTTTTCGTAATGTGTGTCCTATCCACTTCCACCGCTTCTTCCTGATTTCTTCCTCCACTGGAATCTGACTTGTTCTCTCCCACAGTTCGTTGTTGCTGATGGTGTCTGGCCAACGAATACGAAGTATTTTGCGTAGACAGCTGTTAATAAACACTTGTATCTTCTGGATGATGGCTTTGGTAGTTCTCCATGTTTCGGCTCCATACAGTAGAACTGTCTTGACATTTGTATTGAAAATGCTGAGTTTGGTTTTGTTTGAAAGTTGTTTGGAGTTCCAGATATTTTTCAACTGTAGAAATGCAACCCTCGCTTTGCCGATCCGCGCCCTCACATCTGCATCCGATCCACCTTTCTCGTCGATGATGCTGCCAAGATATGTAAAGGTGTTAACGTCCTCCAAGGCATCTCCATCAAGCGTGATTTGATTGGTGCATGTTGTGTTGCATCGGAGAATTTTGCTCTTTCCTTTATGTATGTTGAGACCTACTGCTGCAGAGGCTGCTGCTACACTGGTCGTCTTCTCTTGTTGTTCGATAGAAGAGCCAGGTCATCTGCGAAGTCCAGATCGTCCAGCTGTGTCCAGTTGATACCATGCTTCCCTCCATATGTCGATGTCTTCATAATCCAGTCGATGACCAGGAGAAAGAGAAAGGGTGAGAGTAAGCAACCTTGCCTGACACCGGTCTTCACCTCAAACGAGTTTGTCAGCTGACCTCCGTGCACGATTTTGCAGTTGAATCCATCATAAGAATTCCGTATGATGTTGACTATTTTCTCAGGCACACCGTAGTGTCGAAGAAGCCTCCACAGTGTTTTCCTATCAAAATGGTTTGAATTATTTTTTCTGGTTAGCGTTTTTTTGGCAAGTGAGATTTCAACGGAATGGGGTCGCCAACCCCATGTCCAACCCTCCTCCTTTATCCGGGCTTGGGACCGGCAGTAGCCCCTAAGGTTCTACTGGCGGAGTTTCCAACCTACTCCTACACCACAAAACATCGCTCGTTGAGGCAGTCGATGGTTGGGCATTCGTTAACACATGTCAAAATCAATCACTCAGTAATATATCTATAATTTATTTTAGAAAAAAAACGAGCCCTCATAAAATGGATTGTATTGCTCTCTGTGGAATCATTAAAAATCAATCAGTCAAACAAGTGATAACCTAATGACCGTTTAAATGTTTGACATATAATTATTCATAATTTCTTTACCTTTGTGTTCAGCTGCTGTGTTAGGCATAATTGTGTGTGTTAAGCATAATTGACAATATAGTTGAGGTTACTGAATTCTATTAAGAGTAGTACAAGGAATTATAAATAAAGTGTTTTTTTTAATTAAAAATAAGTTATCCTAATGATTATTTTCAATTGTTATTATTAGAAGTTAAAATTGTCATTATTTCCATAATTATTGTCCAGTCAGTCAGTCAGTTACAATGTAGAACTTTGTACGGATGTACAGCAGTTTAGGTTGCCATACCACATGAGCACAGAGATGCGATTGTCAATTCAAATCCCACAGTAGTAGGGATAGTAGAAATAACGATAATCGAAAATACTACAGATAGAAGATATTATTCAAATCCTAATCTTCTGGAATCATCAGCACCTCTACCTTTGTCTTTCTAACCTTATCCCACTGAATTATACTTCTTGAATAATATCTTCGAACCCTAGTCTTCTTCATTGCCATTAATACCTCTACTATCTTTATCTCTATGGGATTTGATTTGACATTGGCGTCTCTGTGCTAATGTAGTACGGCAACATGAACTTATGTACATACGTAAGACGTTCTACGTTGCAACTGACTGAGGATCCAGTGAAATAAGTTTCAGAAGAGAAATATAAAGGAGATGAGGTGTTAAGTTCGTCACTAGATATGCTTGAAGCTATTCCGAGTTCACCTTAGTTGATAAACGCGAACGAGACAAAGAACCAGTGTTCAGGCAATCTACCTTGATCCCGAAACTGCAAAAGAGAAGTCTTGATAAGCGTAGATACACCCAGCAGGCACAATGCAATCAAGCAAACAAATCCCTTTTATTTATACATCATAGAAACGTCCTTCGGGCAGTCACAAAAATAGCACACTAAAATACACAGCAGCCGATTACATCCAAGGATTTTCCTAGTGGGAAATGAAATCTCAAGTTATACTGATCAGCCCATGCTCGCAAACGTGAAATCCAAAATGAGGCATTTATCAAGCGAGTTCTGAGGATCTAACATCCCCAACACTCCCTTTTTTAATAGCGTGCGCTCCTGGGGTCGACTTGCATCTTGACTGTCGTTCGCTGCTGTCTGAGAGGATACCTTCTGGAACGAAAAACAGCTTGCTACCGAGCTTTTAGTGGTGCGGGTGCCGCTAGGTTGAAGGTATCAAGTAGCATATCAAGGGTAAGATTTTGTGCTCTTGATGGGCAATCTGCGGCTAGCCGTTTGCGTATCTGATTTCGATGACGTCACCATTTATCACTTCCTACCTCTACTTCGTATATAACTCGACCAACTCTTCTGACCACTCTCGCTTCTGCCCAAGGACCATGGTTCGTTCTGTAGTCGCGGGCAAACACAGGGCATCCCACTTCGTAAGAGGAATTTCGGCATTCATCTTTGCCTCCTGCGGACACCGCATGCATTTTTTAACCAATTTTGATGATGGAGTCGTTTCTAGAAGCATTTTGTATGTCTGTTGCAGACACCGGTAGTGCATATATTGTGGTTGTCAAATAACATTCTGCG